GGGGATTATTWATACTCTGTGGACTGTTCTACAGTTTGAATGACAGACATCAGGTAGAAGTTATATTTATGAGGGAAGTGTTTCTCACCTTATCCTGTTAGCTGTGGGAAYGCATACCGTGTCTTCTATTTGGGATTTCAGTGTAGCTGTGAAAAAGGGATTGTAGCATAGATCGTGGATCGGAGTGAAAGATTTGGTCTGTATTTCCCAAGCAGTAGCTCCTGGAATCGATACGCAGCTTGTGGCTAGGAATGGAGCCATAACCCTGTCCATGACTGCATGCGAGGCTCGGCAGTGAGTTCAGAAAGACCTCAGCCAGATGTGAGCCTTCGAAGCCTCTGCTCATGGCACTGGTTTCCAAACCATAGCAGAACCTCTCACTTTTTTTTTCTTCTTTATTCCTCATGGAAGAGGGGAATACTTGGTTAAGTGTTTTGGTGTAGTTTTGAATGTATTGTGCTCTTGGTTTTTATGTAGTCTTGGAATTAATAATAAGCCAGGTGTTGCTTGTGTTTCATGGATGATATATTCAACCCAAGAGTCCAGGGAGCCTACAAACAGACTATTCCTCTTCTTCCAGCTGTTCCTTTTGCCAGTAGCATGAAYTGAAAGGTTTACATAAGTTAGAGATTCACGGCTGAGTATGAAGTTTTCTGCTGATCAGACCCCTTTGAGCAATTTGTTAATAAAGTGGAAGTCCAGCACTATACTCATTAAGTATATTTAATTGCTTTAATGCTAGATGCTGCTGGGAAGATTCTAGCATCCTTTCTGGAGTATGGTTTGTTGATTGTTGTATGACCCAGTTGGCAGCAAGCCTGTCCTGTGAGGCGCAGGACAAGAATATGCTGCACAGTTACTTTGCTAAGTAGTTGAAATACAGTGCCAGCGTTATTTGGGACAGATACATCTTTGATAACCTACTGCTGCCAAGTTGCACAAGAGGAAACTTTTTTTCCATCATAAAACTTTCCTTCGTTGTTCATCAGCAAGCTGATCCAGAGGAGCTCTTCTTCTGTTGAGATTTARGGGAAAGTTTCTAGTCAAGGTATCAGTACTGCATCCTGTTGCTCACTAGCAAGCAAATCTGCTCATTTTGAAGTTTTGCATAATGTACTGGATCTCTAAACATTTGCTCAAAATGCAGTMTACTTTCAGACAATTCACATTGGTCTGTCGACTTATTTAAAAGTTATTTTCATAAATCCAGAAAAACTAAAACACCACCAGTAAATATGCTCTAAAATAATCCTAGCTTGTAACTCTGGCTTCTGTCACATGATGACCAATCTGCAGGGTACAAGCAGATAGTCTTCACCAGTTTTAGAATGGCTAAAATCTTGCTCTTTAGCAAAAGTAGGAATCTGGCAGTGTTCAAGTACAAACCASTCTCTTTGTGGAGACTTACTGCAGGCTCTCGGATACACTCATCCTTGCTCTGGAAAGTTAATTCAGTCACCTGGTGTGGTTAGTCGGATTTTTCTTTTCTATGTTTAAATTTCTCTGTTGTTTGAACTCTGCCTGAAAAGTAGACTGGCACATGTTCTCTTATTTTTCAGATCAGTCATGCCAGCTATGCATAAAAGAGCTGGAGCAAAAGCATTCCATATCCGTTAAGTGTTTTATTTTCCAGACTGAAAACTGAATACTTGCAGCTTGTATGTCATTATATGCTTGTCATTCCTAATTACTTTCTGGCATGTTCCTGGGTGTTTTGTAGACAGGAAAATGCATTTGATTATTTTTTTAAGCTAAGCTAGCAAAAAAAGTTTTAAAAAAAGTCTTCTACAAGAAAGCCAGAGAGGTAGTTTTTACAAGGGCAGACAGAGATAGGACAAGGGAGAATGGTTTAGATTAGATATGTGGAAGAAATTATTTTCTCTGAAGGTGGTGAGGCACTAAAATAGGTTGCCCAGAAAGGTGGTGGATGCGCCATCTCTGAAAATATTCAGGAGTRGGTTGGATAGGGCTTTGAGCAACCTAGTCTAGTGAAAGGTGTCCCTGCTGGTGGCAGCAGAGCTGGAACTAGATGACCTTTAAGGTCCCTTGCTGCCCAAACCATTCTGTCTTTCTGTTAGGTGGAAAACTATTGGGAGAAAGACATATGTGGGCTTAATAATTTTTCCCTTTCTCGAAAAGTGACTTGCTTTATCTTTTATWATCAGTAAGCATTTTGTCTTGAAGGAATAAGACTATTGCATTTCATAACTGAAAATTAATCATCAAGCATATCTTTTTATTTTCAAGACATGTAAGTGTGTGATTTTTTTCCTGCAGGTATTCTGTATACTGTGGCATGTTTTACCAAGGGAAAACATGGTGTTTGTGTCTGCATATCAGATTTTATATGCACAAATGCATAAATGTGTACAGAGTAGATTTGTAGTTCTGACTATTCAGAYAGGTTACCAAGTGAGTGACAATAAGTCTCCTGAGGCTAGTGGTAATAGAAACTGCACCAGTAAAGAAAAAGAAAGTTAACCAGCAGGGATATCCTTTGATTCTTTAGATTTTGTTTATTCTTTATTGTCACTTGACAGCTTGACTACTCTAGCAATGTGCTGGAATATCAGTAGCCCATTATCTCCTAAGTACCTGTGGTTCCTTAGTCCAAATATAAATCTTCAGTCACTGAAATTAAGAGTCACGCAGCTTTGTGGGGCRTGTGTCAATACACAGGCTGCTTAGAAGAGAATCAGATGTGAAATACATTCAAAAGCTATGGCTGCAAATTAAAGCCCAGATTGATTGTTGAGGTGGCTCTCGTCTCCATGCCATGAGGGCTGCAGCATAGGCTGCATGAGCTGCGCCCCTGGCTGGGAGCTCAGCTTTCGCAGGGCTGATGCAACTTGTCCCACAACTGCCTGGTACCAGGAGACATTGGGAACGTGTGGCAGGGGTCTGCTTGTCACCAGGAAGGGCAAGTCAGGTCCTTTTGGCAGCAGCCCACAGCCAGGTTGGTTTTGGCCAGGCACAAAGCTGCTTTTTGTCAGCCCAATGTACTAACCAGCACATGGGAAATGTGACCTCATTAATGTACCRTGGGAAATGGTAGCTCATCAATGTAGGTGGTCTCCAGAGTTTRTTGAAGTTGCTGAAGGATACTCACATGATGTTGTATTAAGTATATGCACTAGATACCTGAGTTATTATTTGCCTTCTGYACAAGACTCAGCAGACTATGAGAAGTGTAAGGCCGCCTCGGCCACCTCAGTTTAGTGTCTGCCTTTCAGTGGTATCTTGAATTTTGCTGTTAATGTGCTGTCTGCTGTGATAAACGGGAGCAAAGACTCTTGCCTCAGGTGACAATAACTTATTACTTATACAGTGCCACAGCCATAGTTTGCAATTCAGTCAGCTRTGCTAAACAAATAAGTTTATAAGATACCTGCCCTGGAGAACTGGCAGGCGGCATTCAGGAATAGCAGGATAATTTATGGTGCTGAGCAAAACAAATACAGTCACCTGTGGCTGWGCCACATGGTGATTACTTGTGCTTTTAATACATTTTTTGTACACTGTGTTCCTGCTGAAATCTAGTGATCCTCAATACTAGTTGCTTCTTTGTGTCTTGCTAAAATAGCTGTAGGAAAATACTTTTATGAAATGTGAGGTTTTAAGGGAATTCTGTATATATGATGAAATATGACGATTGCAGGAATCCTGGACTCTTTAACTTACAGTAAAGATAATTAGTTCTGTCTGTGCAATGGCGTGTGTTAGCTTTTCACTATAAGCTTTGCTCTGACTGGATAAAAGAAATAGCAATTTTTCTGGAAAAACACAAATTTTCAAGAAATCAAGCCAATTCCTGCTATTGGCTTGAATTAGAGTAATAGCTTCATCTCTCAGAAGTAGCTATGATTGTATAACTCATAAATGCTGGATTGGTTAAACACATTTAAAATAAAAGCTTTTCAGTCTGAAGAATTATTTTAATGAATTAAAACCAGCTGAATGAAAGTGATTTCAAATAAATTCATGTAAGTTTCATAGAAATATATATTTTGTATTGTATAAAATAATACAAATTCAGTAGAAATAAAAAAATCAGTCTTTCTGTAGAATTGTACATCAACGTAAATGAAGCCAACTGAATTTTTTTCATGTCACCTGAAGGATCTTTTATTGAACTTTTTTTTGCAACCAACCCAACTGCTGTCAGTTTTCTGTTATAGAGAACTGTTTTTTYGATGTTCATGAAGATATTAAAATGCCTTGAAACAGACAGAATTTTACTAAATGATTGGTTACCGACGCAAGGTATTGATTGTGCAGGGATTGTGGTAGGYATAATGCAGCTGCTGCTGGTGCCATACTGAGCGCGGAGTGGCTGCACCTCTGTCCTTTGGAGAGTGGGCAGTGTGCATAGGAAACCAGAGTCTCTCATGTGGGTGGATCAGCAGAGCCCCTCAGCACCTCCGAGTGAGCTCCACAGTCTCTGCTACTCGGTTATTTTGCTTTTCTTTATTACCTAGCTGGAAAGTTACTGGAAAAGGCCACTTTGACCTTGAAAAGCATGGTTTCCAAGCTGCAAGSCTTTGACTTGCCTCGTTTTTCCTTGCTCCCTCAGATGTCTTCTGTCTCCTCTGTAAGTAAACTGTCACTCTCTAAAGCTTTCTCCATTGATCTGATTTTCTGAACTTTTTATCTTCATTGCCCTCTTTGGCACACTCTTTTACTTGGTGGCTGCATTGGAAAGGAGAAGCTCTCTAACATGTGCTSCTCCCATTAATGTTCTATGGAATTCCAGGTGCCTGTGAGACAATGGCATTTTCCCATAAACTTTTTTTTCCCTTTGATTTCCACTGGTTTGGCTTTTTKCCTTCTTCTTGCAAAACTGCTGGTGTGCCTGTAATTCTTTACACTACATTGGTCAGATGCGTTGAAGCTTGTGATAGAGTAATGAGAAAACTATATTGAATGATGAGAAATCCCTAGATGTGATCAGTTTTTTTAGTCTTTCCTGTTTGGTWTTTTTTATTTTTTTTTTCCTTCAGATGCTGCCCCAAAAAACCTTATGTTAGAGGAATCTTCAGACTGAAAAATGTGTAAGTGAAATACGCAACATCCATCTTTATTTCCAGTTTAAGGGTGGGCATGACAGGTTTTGCTGTGGATATTGGACGGGTCACTTGCTGCATTAATGTGACATTGATGCCCTGCTGCTGTTCTTTGTCAGCCAATGCTTGAAGTCCTGTTTTTGGTTTTTCGTGTGTAAATGTCCTGACTCTGCCTTCTTCATGGACTAAGGTGGTAACTGCAGTAGCCAAGCTAAATGTCTGATAGTACACTTCCCTTTGGATCCTGATGCTGCTCACTAAACTTTGCAATCACAGCTCCTAAGCTGGCAGGCTGCTTGTCTTCGGCTTCAGGGAGAGCCCTCATAAAAGCTTTTGCTCTCTCTGAGGTCTGTTGCAAAATGAGAATGTTCGCTTTCTCTTTGGCATCAACTCAGGTTTGTAAACTTTGGTAACAAAAATAATACTGAGTTCATATTCCAGAATACTTGGCATCTGGCTGTTGATTTTTGGGTACACAGTGCTGTTGCTCTCACACAACACAGTTTTGCCTTTAAAATTCCGGCTGATCTCTTTATGTGTTTTCTTGTTTATTCTTTCAGAGGGCTTATTCCTGGAAAACTGGATATGAGCACTGTTTCCAAATTGTGCTCAGGGTGATTGTTTTCTCTTGCTGTGAAAGCACTTAGTAGGGACAGTGGACATTTTTCACGCTACTGATTTTTTAGCACCATGGATAGGAATACTCAAATTAGTGGAGAGAGTGAATGAATGGGGTACATACCTAGAGATGGAGATGGGCAGGTAGCACACAGATGTGAGGTTCAGCTGGGAATTTTGGCTGTTGGGCAAGTGGAAKGAGGTGGTATATGGGAGAGGCTGAGCAGGTGTGACTTGCCAGGGGTCACCTACTGACCTTCAATGACTCTTCTTGGACACAGACTGTCYCCCTTGTTCCCACTCCTGTCTCCTTCTGTGGGGCATCCCGCTTCTTTTTCACTTTGAAGTTGACTACAACTGCACGGATGAGATCCCATTGAGCAGCCTGTTGGCTCATCTTAATCCAGATGCTGGATTATTTTATCTTTTGATTGTTATTTTCATGTATTTAGGGGATGAGAAGGACAAAAGGCCATGCTGGGTTATAAGGACTGGTTTACTCTGAAGATGGGGCTGTTCTGTATTRAGTAATAATGTTTTATCCTAGTACATCATTAATCACTTTGCATTCCATTTCCACTACAACAGCTCAGATATAATTACTGCTCACCATGAACTACTTAAATGAGTGCTGTATAGTCCTGTGGACCTTTTAACCTGCTAAATGAATCACATGGAGAAAGTTAACGCTATTTATATTTAAATAAAAAGTTGCAAACCGGGCAAGAGGAAGAGTGGTTTTTTRTACAATGCTACTCTTTATGTTCAACTAATTGAGGGAAACCTGGCGGCTTTTAGAGAGTTTATGGGTATGAACTTCTGCTAAAGCCTGACTGTAATAAAGAGGTTGTTTTTTGAAAAGGGCACTGTCCATTTGAATATTGTAACATTCAGTAATGTTAAAAACCTCATGGGGGGTATAGCCTCCCTTTTCTCATTGGTCCTGCTTATTTCTTGATAAGGTAATGTTTGGAGGRGATTAGGTGCTGATAAGGAGTGAATGCATGTTATCAAGGTTCATTCTGTTTGTATTATTCCTTATTTACCTCYATGGCCATTTAACACCTTGCTAGAGATTTTAGTTTATACCTGGTGCTCTAAAATGCGTGAAAGCATTTAATTTTTAAAGAGGGTCAGTATACCTTTCTCTTGCTTTTAATGAAGTTTTATAGCCTTTGGTGTTGCCTACAGAATTTTTCAAATGTAAATCCTAATGGCTAAGGCCCCAGAAAAAAACAAGAAAGCTCATTTTTAAGCACAACTTTAGGCCAGCGTCTTGAATGTTGAATGCCTGTGGTAAGCTTGGCAAGTCAATCAACTTCTTAATACAGTCCCATTCACTGTCTTTGGTGTTTAAACACCTCAGCTGTTTAAAACAAAGAGGGTGGAMACAGCATCTTTTTCTGCATTTTCTTCTCAGCCTGTGAGTAAATTGATTTACAGAAATACATGTTGCATATTAGTTGCTTTCTCAAGGTGGACGCTACTGAAGTCCTGATCCTGCAGTGCCATTTCTAAGCATAAACCACTGTTGAAATCACTGGTGCAGAATGAGAACTTATGCATCTCTGTGAAAAGGGCTCATTTCATGTTTGGGTAGTGCTGAGCGAGAGCAGCAAGGCACATTTTATCATGGAAATGTTGGACAGACTGTTTCAAGGTGCAGGGAAGGGATAGGAGTAAAATGACTCTGTCGGACTGAGTCATACTTGTTCAAAAACATTAAAAGTTACTTTTCATGTTAAAATTACCAGCAGTTTTCATGTTAAAATAACCAGCAGTTGTGTTTGCTTGCTGGAATTTGTGTAGTTAATTTGTTATWTCAGGAGAGCGTGCTCCCAATTAATAGGATATTACCCAAACCTTACCCAAGAACAGGCATTTCAGAGCGTTTCAGCATTAAGCTGCTTTTGAAMGTGCCTTCTGTTCTTTCTACTGTTTCTTTAATCAACAGTTGAACCATCTCAATGACACTCAATACCACTTATCATTGGGAGACAGATGAACACTGATCTGGGAAACAGTTTTGCCCTTTGTAATTTTTTTGTCACATCAGGGTGGTGACAAGTGGCCTCTATTAAAAGGAGATACAATTACGTTTAATTGGTTGCAGTGGAGGATTTTAAAAATCATTTTAATTGTGCTTCTTAAGATACTTTCCTCTCAGAAGAGACTGATAAATTCACTTGCATGTTTGTTTCAGTGCAAATACTAACAGCATTTCAGAGCCTTCTCTTCTTACAGGGGATGATGCTGCTTATCTCCTTGTCACCTATGGCTCACAATGTTGCGCCCAAACCAAATCCTTCAACTCCTGATTGCCCAGTTTGTTTTGTTACTGTGCTGACCACCGGCATCACTAGATAATACATTCCCTTTGTGTCTTCAAGCTACAGTGATATTTCTGTGTTTGTGTAACTTGCAAGCTTTGTAATCATCAAAATATCAAAAAGAACAGCCCTTGTAAAAGTACATATGACTTAATAAATGTGTTTCTGATGTTTTTATCTACTGGAAGAGGCATTTGGAGAAGGGAGGAGAAGGATTTATTGAGAAATAACAAAATGACTCATCAGAAACACTTGTCCTCCTTTCTTTCCCTTGTGTGGCTATTTCCATCATAAACTGGAGTGATCGATGTCTGCCTGAATGGAATTGAGGAGATAACTCTCAGAAGGGGAAATATTTTGTCATTTTTGACCTTCCTTCACTACATTTATACTTGCTAAAGGCTGACAGAATTTAGGAGCTCTGAAGAATATTTGTCTAGTTTACACTGATTCTTTATTTAAGACATATTTTTCTAAGGGGAAAAAAAGCTAAGAGGAAAAAATGGACAATGTTTTCCCTTGTTTCTGAAATTCCTWACATGAATGTGTTTATCCCATACTAGATGGTAAAGATGGACTCCATCTGACTGTTAGAGTTGCTCTCCATTAAGAAGTGTGTGTACTGCACTTAATGAAGCAGCACTTAGCTTTGCTAACATCACTGTGGAGCAGTACAGAGGTTCTTTTAACACATGAGTGGATTCCCAGAACTCTTGCTTTGTAAATAATGTCTGTTCCCAGTGAGTCCTAATTGATAATGACTGTTAATGTAATACCTGCTGGCTAGGCCTGGTCTTTACTGAAAGAGCCCTTTGAAACTTATTTATTGATTGCTGAAATCAGCTTAGTTTAAAAAACAAAGAAAAAAAAGCACTAAAAAACGCCAGACATTAATTTGGTCTCAGTTTTCTGGTAATTGTTTTTCTTATTTGATGGGGTGGATGATATTAAAGTCTCAAAACTCTCGTCTGCCTTTTTACTTGTAAAGCATTTGTGGTTTTGATTRTGACTTCAGGAGTGGATCTTGAATAAATGTAATTTTCTGCACTGTAAACAAAAGGCCACCCCAAAAGAAAGATAGAATTTACCTACTCTTTGTATAATCATAAGTTTATGAAAACTAATGRTTATTTATTTATCTGTGCAGAAAATAAGGTTAGTCACAAGGCTGAGATGGCATTCTCCTTTCTGTCCTCAGGGTTACTATTGCTTTTTGTTTGCGTGCAGTTTCAGACAGCAAGTTTTGAGCCCTTGTCCCATGGTACAGAGCATGGCCAGCTCTGCTGCTGTCCACAAAAGGGATAGGAGTTGTACTTTCATCTGGTGAAGTTGTGCTTTCATCCTCACCTTTAGTGTTCCCTTAGAGGTTTTGATTTGGTTGCCATTATCAGAGAATGGATAATGCTTGACATAAATCATCCAATGGTGACATTCACATCATGTTTTCCTCTTCCCTATCTCCATTTGTGTATATTTCAGTAGTTAGATTCTTAGTGCTGAATTACTTAATGGTTGCAAAGTGATCAGCTTATGAAGGGATATCTGTATTGGTTTTCCCTTTATGTACTTTTACTTCAAAAATGATTTAGTTTATCATTTTATATGACTTGCACTATTGTAGAAGTGCCTCATGGGAGAGAAGATTTGCTACACATGACCTGAAAAACAATAGTTCTGTAAAAGAATTAATTATTGGTTTTTAGTAAAGGTTTAATTAGTAAATAATCATTATTCTGTCTTTATTGCTGGGTGATTTTTGCTCTCTGCTTTTCACTGCGTTTTCCCTAATTTTTAGTATGTGTGTCACAGGTATATCTAGCACTACACCAGCAAGGAAGACAAATACACTATGGAAAATTAGGAAAAAWAGCTATAAAATCTAGCAGGATAATTTAATTGGGGTAACTTAAATTTAAGTAACATTTTGTTGAGAACTAGGTTTTGATGGGTCCCTTTAAGAGGTCATGTGTGCTTGGAGATTGGTTTGTGCCCTTATTCACTCTTCATCCCACATGTATTTTGTCTGGGCAGTTGTACTCA